CCCGGGCAAATCTGTCGCCCCGGGTCGAGTGACGGAGTGCGACTCGACTCGTGGGGTGGAGTCCGAGCGACTTCTCCCCGAGTCACAGTCGCCCGCCACGTGGGGTCACGCGAGGCTATGGGGGTCCGGGGTGCAGGCGAGCCGACTGGTCACAGCAGCCCCTACCCTGGGCAACCCTGCAGCGTGACCTTTCTTAATGGGGCAAAGGTAAACTCGAAACAACGTTAAACGCGAGACGGATTCAGTAACGATGCAATCTACGTGCGTCTATCGTTCTCTGTGTATTAAATTACTTGCCTCTCATAATGTAAAAGGAGTGCTTGAACCTTCAGCAGGGTGGGGGCTTTGGGGTCGGGGAGCCCCCCAACCCGACGGCACGGGGCTGATGGCCTCGCTTAACTCGCCGACTTCAGTCAAGGGCACGTGGCGGTGTTGCTGCAGCAGGCGAGGGCTCGGGGTGGAGAATTGGACGAATTTTCTTCGAGGCATCACCACCACCACTACCGCTCCGCCTCGCAGCTCGAGTGTGATCAGGCATGCCGCAATGCTGCGCAACTCCCGCACAAATCCCCCACTTGTTTAGCCCCCCCACACACCCCCAATTTTTTTTTATCAGTTTCTCTGTCGGTTTGTGCGTGAAATTTTCAGTCCGCCTCGATCTGTTTTTTTCCATTTCAATCTAATGCTCTGGTCGGTCTCAACGTCCGTCTTTGTATTTCATTTTCCCGTTTTTTCTTCAATGCAACCTTCTCCATGTGCGTCTCCAATTTGTCACACTCATCTCCGTTTCTGGCTTTCTCGTGCCAGTGTCTGCAATTATATGCATCTTTGTATCCAGATGTAGCAGATACTGTCCTCAACAACACACAGCCATATGTACTGGTTCCAATCCACACACAACTCCTTCCTTTATCCACAGCTCTCTCCTTTTCATCCATAGCGTAGTTCTCGCTTCACAGCTGCCGACGTCCCCTCTCATGCCAACGGCCCCTCTCCCATTACCTCCACCTCCCTTCATCCTCCTCTCATCTCCAGCCACCAATGTCCTCTCTTCGCACCTCTGGGTCACTCCTGGGCAATTCGGTGCAGGGATTGAATCAGCGTGTAGGGGTAGGGAGGACTCGTACGTCTCTCCCTCCCTCCACATCTGTCTGCATGTGTTCATGTCTCTCCGTCTGTGCACGTCCCAATGCCCTTACCGACGGTCATACCTTAAGTGTTGATATTGATCCGTTTGGGGTTTGGTCCCAGGTATAGAGACTGGGCGTAGACGCATCGCCCAAAGGCATTGCAGTGCATTCAGCCGGTTTTACATGACATTCGGCGAGCCGATAGGAGGGCCGTGAACGGCTCACAGAACGTTTCAAGTGAATAAACCACTTCCAGGTAAACTTTTGCCCAAAACAATGAGAAATACATTTCTTCCACCGCTTTGTCAATGCGCGGTTCCTTCCGATCCGGGTTGACATCCCTCGTGTGAACCTTAGGGCCCAACTCCTGCGACCGTGGCTCTTGCCGCATATCTCGCGCCGCTTGCGTAAATCATCGCACGCCGCGTACAGCGAAGGAACCGTTTTATTGACAGCAATGACACAACACGTGATAAACAACGCGAGAAACTAAAGCCACTGTAATGTGAAAAAAAATATAACTTGAAAAATGGACAATTTTGCGAGTTTGTTGCCATCAGTAATAAGTTACACCAAAACTTATGTCCAGGAACAAGAATCTGAGAGGTGGGCTGGAGGTGTCTTGTAGACTGACAACAGATTAGCACGGCGCCCCCCTCGTGACACTGGCTTTGAGGAGTGGGTGATTATGGGACTCGAAGGGTTGAGCGCTGATAAGAGGCATTTAGATGTTTAAAGAAATAATATCTCAACTGTGCTACCGGTGTCATGGAATGAATAATTGTTCATTCGGAGCTCTCGCAGAGCAACGTAACATCGCCCTGTCGGAAGGTGATGCCACGGCAATTTGTGAGGTCTCTTCCATTCTCTCCTCAAGCTCTTTGGTCTCATCGCTAACAAGCTGACTTAACCCTCACAGCTGCAGTGTTCCACATCAATTTAGAACCATGATTATTATTTTAACACCGTCATCCCACGACTCCCGAGAACCCAGTTTAATTATGGGCGGCTGAACCCCGATTTGAACGCAGGGTGTCAGCGGTGTCACCCCAATGCTCTGACACAGCCATTATGAACGCCCCGAGCCATCTCGCACCCTCCACGAGTGAGGGATGCGAGCATCTGAGCTGCATCAGTTGGCTTACCAGCAGAGAAGACCCTTTGTGGTCGCTCTCTTTACAAAAGCGCTTTGATCCCAATGAATGCAGTGCCCAGTAGAGGAGCTTTTCGACAGCTCCCTCAAGCGGAGGCCCTTCCTCTTCTCACCTGGGATAACAAAATGAACGTTGTCCGCCAACAGTGCTGTGAATAAGCAATTGCAGGGCTGCACTTTAACCCTGCCTAACGCAGCACCTTCCACATTCACCCTGGCAGCAGCAGCCGGATGTCCTAAACACAACATGCAACTCGTGGGGACTGCGCCGCTCACCGCTTCACCACTCTAACTTTATTCCACGGCTTTCACAGACATTGGAGCCACCTAAGAAAGCAAAGCTCCAGCAGCATCAATTTTAGGCAAATAGACGCAAATGGAGTATTTCTCACCCAGTATTTTCCAGGTTGATAAATCAGGCAGGTGGCATGGGACCGGCAGGCACAGCCACAGCGACAGCCACACTGGGTGAGGTGTGCCAGGTGTGGAACTATTTTCCAGGTCACCGACACGCACAGACTCGGGTGAGAATGTACCCCATGTAATTTGGGCCACAGGGTCTGAACTAGCGGGTTAAAATAATATAGTATTTTTACCCCAGGCATAATTTAGTTGTATTGGCCACATAGAAAAATGTACCACTCATGATTTACTTTATTGCTTAGTATTGACAAGTTCAACATCTGCTTTGGGCCCAAAAAAAGACATCTATCCGTACCGAGGAGTGACTGGACAAGCAGTCCTGCATTAGATTGGCTACTCGTGGGTGCCAGTGGGTGCTCGTGGGTATCCAGATACCCACGGGTGACCCACCAGGCAGACCGGAACCGAGTCGATTTGACGGCATGCCGTCGGGGTGCGGGTCGGGCGCAGCGTGGAGACCGTGATCCCACAGCGTGGTGACCGTGACCCCGCAGCGTGGTGACCATGACCCCATAGCGTGGTGACCGTGACCCCGCAGCGTGGAGACCGTGACCCCGCAGCATGGTGACCGTGACCCCGCAGCGTGGAGACCGTGACCCCGCAGCGTGGAGACCGTGAGCCCGCAGCGTGGAGACCGTGAGCCCGCAGCGTGGTGACCGTGACCCCGCAGCGTGGTGACCGTGACCCCGTAGCGTGGAGACAGTGACCCCGTAGCGTGGAGACAGTGACCCCGCAGCGTGGAGACCGTGACCCCACAGCGTGGAGACCGTGACCCCGCAGCGTGGTGACCGTGACCCCGCAGCGTGGAGACCGTGACCCCGCAGCGTGGAGACCGTGACCCCGCAGCGTGGAGACCGTGACCCCGCAGCGTGGTGACCGTGACCCCGCAGCGTGGTGACCATGACCCCGCAGCGTGGAGACCGTGACCCGCCCCGAGCGACTTGGTCCTGGACGGGACCCAGGACTCCGTTCCATACCAACACGCGATTCGTAACATCGTCCCTGCGTCCGCTCGGACCGTTTGGAGCGCATGCCGGCGTGATCGGATAATTGGCTAAACAATCGGAGTGTGCGATTATGATGGACAGTGTCAAATAATCGTGGGCTCCGAACACGTCGCGTGGATGCCGCGTTGTACGGACACACGCACTGCGATTTGTAAAACAAATCCCACGTACAGCAAAACTGCCTTTCAGAAACGGCGATAGACAGCTTTTACAAAATGCATTGCAAAATGTCCCTCTTTTTGCTATTTAACAATGTCCCGCTTATTGCTATTTAACAAGTGCATGCAGCTCAGAAGAAAAACATCTCGATTCCTCTGTCCGTGTGTAATGGAATGGCTATCGTACAGACGGAGCACGCATCCCTGTGTGTCAACGGGAAAATTACAAATCCCACTGACAATGACTTTATACAAACAGTAATGGCCATTTCAATATATGGAGATGAATTCATTCCCTTTGTTACCCCTAAACGAGGCTGGAAAAGCAATAAAGGCGAAGGCATCTCCGTGCAACTGTACAGGGATTTCCTGCAAGCGATGCAGCAAGAAAATATTTTAATGAAACGTCGAGGCAGCTGTTAAACTTGAGAAACGAAAGCAGCTGCCAAATGACGGATGTCACAACGCCGCCGCGACGCAGACCGCCGGCGCCGCGGGAGGAGCGATGCCCTCGATTGCCGCCAGCCTTGCCGCCCACGCGCGCCAGCGCGGTCTGCTCCGACATACGCGCAACGTCGGCCACGTTTGACAATGGCCACGAAAAGTAAAAAAAACGGCGACATTCTAAACTCCACGGCGATAAAGCGACGAGGCAATTCAAAACTGGGGTTTCGCCGCTAACGGGGATCGTCCCGGCGGCGTGCGAAGGCTGCCACCTGCTGCTGGATTCTCGCGTGGCGCCTCCAGCCGCAGACAGACACCGCCCCCCCCCACCCCAAAACCACAATGCGGGTCAGGCAGCAGCAGAGAAACAAGCAGAACCGTGCCCCCCCTTCAATTCTAATGCAGTTTATTTTCTTCTTCATGTTTGTACAGAGTCTTGAGATGTGATGAGATCCAATTGAATTGTATGGAAAGTGTAAATTGTTGTCGTGGCGCCGCTCTTGAGATGAGCACTGTGGTCGGCTTCCTGGGTCGGGGTGCGTCTGTGGCGAGGGAAAAGGAGGCTCCTGGAGGTGGTGCTGTGCCCTCCGCCCCCTCCGCCCCCTCCGCCCCCTCCGCCCCCTCCGCCCCCTCCGCCCCCTCCGCCCCCTCCGCCCCCTCCGCCCCCTCCGCCCCCTCCGCCCCCTCCGCCCCCTCCGCCCCCTCCCGTGGAAAAGGAGTCCCCGATTCGTGAGGGTCCAGAGGTCGGCGTTATGCGCTCGCCTTGGGCTTGATGACCCAGTCGGCGTGCGGGTTGGCCTCGTACAGGGCCCTCATGTGGGTCTCCGCGTCCAAGCAGCGGTCTCCTGTAGGGCAGGGGGGACACGGGAGATAAGGGATGGGGTACGGGGTGGACGCGGAGGGGGGTGCCACAGGAAGGAGGGCGTGAAGGATAGGGGACACGGCCGGGAGAGGGATAAGAGAGTTTGGCGCGTGTCTGCGTGCGTCACCGGGGCCATACACCATGGTGGAGTCACCGTTTCCCATCATGCCTCTGAAAGGCGGTAATTTACATTTAAATGAAGATTGTTTATTTGAAATGAACACCGTGAAAAATGACATTCCGGGCGCAATAACTCGCGCTTAAAGGGACTGTCGTAAAACACGATGACTTTCAAACGCGTTGGCCCTCAAGCCCCTCCACTTCAACATTTCACTCCCACCACAAAACAGACGGCTCTCATCTTGTAGCTACACAGCTCTGCTGCACATCCCTCACCGTCAGCCATGAGTTTAAATCTTCGTTCATGAGAAGAGGACACTTAAAGCGACTCGCAGGAGCACCCCGGTGACGTCACGATGGGGTGACTGCCATCACTTTCAATACAGAACTGCAATTATATTATTAGAGGGTCAGTGAAAGTCCTGTAAAGGTTTATGGGACCCTTTTTGGTGTTATTCAAACACCAAACCTCTTGTAATGCATCAAATCTGCGTTAACCACACGCGCCTGCAGTAAAACATGCAAAGTAGGTATTGTCTATGCAACCGCTTGTCCTTCACCAGAGAGCCTCCTGCAATTGCTTGCTCGTGACACTGCGACTGGAAGGATGGTCCACTCGAGGGCGCAGGACAGCCCTCGCGATATGGTGTTTGGCCTACTCTTCCCACGATATGAGAAAACTGCCCATTTGTTGGGTGGAACGTTTGAGGAGGCTCACCGATGTTGCCGCCAATCTCGTGCAGACAATATTCCTGGTGCTCCACGATTTTTCCCCCCTCGCTGTGGGCAAAACACAGTTGGCATCTTTTACATCACCGCACCACGGCACCTCAGCACCACGGCGCCACCAGAGCCACAAGCGGTGAGGCAGCAGCTAAAGCAGAAATGGCACTCGGCAGCTGAAATAAAAGTCCCACAGTCACTCAAGGTCAAAAGTTCATCACTACCTTCCTTCTGCTAGACCCCACAGGTTTTGCATGTAATCTCCAAAGTCCGCTCTCGGGAGGACAAATTGACGAGCGAAGTTGACAGGAACGGGTACCAATATTAGCATCATAATATTAGCATGATTATACAATCGTAGTATAATTTGGGAGAAGACCAAACAGCAACCGAGGCGAGGAGACGCTAATAAACAATGGCATCTCCCTGCACCCCCAACTCCCATGGCCCTCCTCCCCTCCCCGCCCCCCATGGGCAGGCGAGGCGGAGGCGTCGCCGTACCTGTCGGCGAAGAAGCGTGCGACGAGGTCTCCGGCGCGCACGCCCTCGTCGAGCTGCACGGCCATGGGGAGCTTGGAGAGGAGTGGCGCCGCCACGCGAATCGTGTATGACAGCGGCTCCACCTGCACGCACACAGACAAAGACCCCCCCCCGTAGCCTTAGCACACCGTCGAGGCGAGTGCTGTTAGCGAGTAGCACTCATGAAGGCCGGCACAGCAGATGAGGGGGTGGGTGGCCAGCACCACGCCCGGCCGCCTTTGTCTCCCAATTGGCGATGTTTATGCCCAAGGGGAGGCCCAGACCCGGTTCAGATATTCGTCACCAATGTTGGCCGCGAGCAGAAATCAAACTCGGGTCGCTGGGTTCCTAAGCACAGCGCGCTAACTGGTGTGTGTGTCCACATGCATACACACACATCACTGCATGCACATAGCATATAGTGCATGCAGCATGCACGTGAAATTGTTTTTGCTCAGATTTACATTTGCATAATCCTGGTCCCTTTAGTTCCCACCTGGTTCAACAAAATACACTTAGCTTAAACACTACTCACAGAGCATACACGGTGTGTGTGTATAGCAACCAGTGTGAACTGACACTCAAAGCATGTGCACAGTAGTCAAAGTATGGACACAGTACATAGCACACACATATAACATTTACGCATGCACATAGCACACACACTCAGTATGTTCACTCAGTGTGCAAAGCACACCAAGCGCACACAGTATAGTATGCATTGCATGCGCATAGCAGACATAGGAAAATGCGCAAAACACACACATGTACACACGTAGCAACACAGTGCAGCACGCCCAGGCTGATGCACACACATCGGTGCAGAGCGAGCGTACACGATACCACAACAACGCACACTAATACACCATCAGAAGCCCACGCGTGCTGTGCGATTAGCTGCGGCCCAGAGCCAGCAGGCAGCTGTGTGTGCTGAGGAAGTCCGTTTACTTATTTGGAAACGGGAGTCGCCGTTTTGTCTCAAACCATTGGGAGCAAGACGCATTGGCGAAGGCCATTTTCTAAAAACGCGTTTGGAGAGCAACTCTGCTTTCATGGTCACGTTTCAAAGTCAGCACAGAGTTCCCTCCTCATTTTAAAATACTTTGTACACACGCAGCGTTCCACAGCCGGCCTGCCCCACACAAACAAACAACCGAGTTACCCTGCCATCAAACAGCGGGAGTGGGGCAGATAAAACGGGCTGGGGAGGTGCCGGGCACCGTGCCGCGGGAAGCGATGGGTTCGTTATTTTTAATGGCCTCACCTCGCGCCTCTCCGGCTTCTTGTCCTTGTCGATGCGAGTGATGCGCAGGAATCTCCTCACGCCGCGCTCCTTCTGAGGCTGCCGCTTGTTGGCATCGTTGAGCTCCCGCACTTGCCTCAGCAGGAACGGCGGAATCTGTGAGCGCACGACATAGCGGGTTCGCCGTGCGTGCGGGGACTACCGAGGCTCACGCTCATTAAGGGCGGCGCGGCACACGAGCGGGTGGCGACGAGTAGGGTCGCCATCTGTCCTCGTTTTCTTCTTACTGACGAACAATATAAATAAGTAAAGTCCCCTTCATGTATCCATTTCGTCTGGAAAAAAGCTGGCAGCGCACCACCTCGGCAGCATTGTTTCAAGAAAGCAAACTCTGGACTGGTTTTGACATACAGCGTCTCATCAGCAGTGTCAGGCTCACTTGTTGAGGTAGTTGCTGTCGTTGAAATCTGCCTTCAAGAAGAACATTAATTCTCCCGTGTTTTGCCGGTTGAGTGATCATAAGGAGATGGATTCACTACTACGATTAATCCACACGCAGCTCTCTGCTTTTCTGACAACGCAAGATATTCTCTTTCCCACGACGTGTCGCAGTTCGTAGCCCAAAGGTGGCCAATTTCTTAAGCCTTCCTGTTCCTTCCCAAGGTCGACTCAACCTTTAATTGGTATGTAGTGCACTGGTTAAAAACATCAGCAAACGGGGAGGTAAAGGCAGCCGAAAATGCACGAGCGTACCATACGCCGGCACTTGGCGACTCGCGTGCGTTAGGGTCCACGCAGCCTGCACCTGTACCCGCGGCGAGCGTGTGATCGAGGGTGCTTACGATCCAGAGCTTGCGCTGATCCTTGATGAGCATGCGCACAAGCCCCGCGTACGCCGCTGCGAACTGGCGGTTGAGCGGCTGCAGCAGCGCGCTGCCCGACGACATGAAGAGGTTGGGCGCCATGATGAGAGACACGTTCCACAGGTCCATGCGTGTCGCCGTGCTCGCCTCAGATACCTTCAGTAGCAGCTCCAGGATGGCCTGCAGGAACAGCAGCGGTGGCAGCACCCTCCCATTAGTTTGAATGCAATCAATTCTCCCCTTTAGAGCCCTGAGACAGTGGTTGGAATTCCACATTCCATTAGAAAAGGGAAGTGCCTCGATAGAACCACTGTTGATCGTCCCAAAAAGTAGTATCCATTTTATCGACCCCAGAGGGATCATGGGCCGAGTCAACCACCTCCACCCCCCAATCCAGGATTTCAATCTCGACCTGCCAATTGCGAGCTGCTCACTCTGCCGCTGAGTCACCCCGCCGGATTGTAATCTTGCTTTGCCGATTAGCGATTTTGAATACTCAGCAAAAAAATGTCTCGATAGTTCCCACGTGTGCTGCTGGATGGGAGGTAATGGTCGTCGTTTGGCATAATCAGCTGCGTTATTCTGGGCGCGGCTTGTAGGGGGTTTCCTACCTTCGGGAGGCAGGATGTGGGGGCGCCAGCAGAGTCTTAAAGGGGCCCGAGTATTCTACAACAAGTTGTTGATATTCTATGGTTTTTTCGGCAGATAGAAAAAAATCTAAATAAAGCAATTTTAAAATATCACGACGTTTCGACCACAACACAAGCGGTCGTCATTAGGAACAAGGTTACACTCAGAGGGCAAGCTGTTTATAAAAGTTTAGAGGTGGGCGGGGCAGCTAATGTTAATGTAGGAGAAAGCCCCGACACCGGCAGTAGGTCTACACCAATTAAAGCATTGCACCTCGCTCCACACACCCACACTGCTAACGGTGGAGGTTGATAAGAAAAAACAAATCAAGTCAGGATCCAAAGTGGTTGATGGCATATTTCCAATGATTGCTGAGCTTATAACTATCCTCTCGGTTGAAATTGTGTCTGTGTCTGGAAATTTGGATGGCTTCATGAACGAATCTTTGTTGATAGGCAGTAGGCTTGTAAAGTACCATCGTCTTAGAGAAATCGAATTCGTGTGAGCCAGCTGCATTAAAATAATGATCAGCCACGGCAGAAGTATTGGTCCTACCGTGTTTCCAATCTGCCTTATGCTCACGAACACAGTCCGAGACATGTCGCTTAGTTTCCCCAATGCAACTACTGCCGCAGATACAGCTTAGTTTGTAGACGCCGGGATATTGCATGTGAGGAATCTTGTCCTTCACAGATGGAATCAGATTACGAATTTTATGTACTGTGTTAAATCGGACCTGGATCTTGTGTTTGTTTATGATTTTGAAAATCTTTTTGGTTACCCCTGCTATGTATGGCAAGGTAATGTTTTTGATTGGATCCTCAGATGGCTCGTTTCTCATGGTTGGGGTGATGGCTTTGCGGATTGTGCAGTCAGAGTATCCATTCGCCTTGAGAGCTTAGTGTACGTGTTTGAGTTCACTGTTTAGGTGTTCATGGTCGGAGATACATTGAGCTCTACGGTGTAGCGTTATGATGAGGGAATTCTTCAGGGATGGGTGGTGGTGGGAATCGGGTTTTAGGTAGGCATCAGTATGGGTTACTTTCCTGTAGACAGAATGGCTCATTGAACCATCAGGTCTCTTTTTGATGAAGACATCCAAGAAAGGTAGCATGCCATCCTTTTCTACCTCCATGGTGAATTTGATTACTGGTTGTATGGGACTGATGTGATTGAGGAATGGGTTCAGAGCCAGTCGGCCATGTGGCCAGATGACAAACATGGCATCCACATACCTCTTCCACAAGAACGGGCGTAGAGTGGATGCCTGGATGACGTCCGTCTCAAATTTTACCATGAAAATATTGGCTACATCCGAAGATAAGGGAGAACCCATTGGGGTGCCATCAGTTTGTTTGTAGAATGTTATATTCCAGGTGAAGTATGTATTGGTGAGGCAGTCTCACCATGGCCAGTACATCAGCATTCAATCCTTGTTGGACCAAATCTTCAATGATTGCAATGGCTTCGGGCACAGGAACTTTGGTAAACAAAGAAACTACATCAAAACTAATGAGCAAACACCTGGGGACAGTGAGATGTCTTTAAATGACGATACCAGGTGAGCTGCGTTAAGTACAGAAGAGGTGGTCTTACCAGTGAATGGCTGCAAGGTCTCAGACAGATATCGGACCAGTTTGTAGGTGGGTGAGCCAATTGTGGAAACGATGGGACGAAGGGGTGTGCCTTCTTTATGGATTTTTGGTAAGCCATCTAATCTGGGTGGTCTAGCAGCAGAAGGTTTTAAGGAGAACCATTTGGTCTGTTCAATTAAGGAAGCTGAATCAGTGATGATACTGATAGTTTTTGTAACGAGGCTGTTGGTGGGATCTCTTTTAATTTTTGTGTAGCATTAAGAAGGTCCTGAATTTTGTTATTATACACGGTTTTGTCCATGATGACCGTGGCATTGCCCTTGTCGGCTGAGAGGATGACGATATCATCCCTCTATTTCAATTGAAATAACTCAAAACGCTTATCCTTACTGATGTTGCTGACTGGTATCTTAGCGCTTTTGAGGGTTGCAGCGATTTCAGATCTGTTGATTCCAATTGTAATGTCGATATAAAAATCCACTTGCGTTCATAACCCAGATCACTCTTGCAAATTATTGTCTTGGTGTCTTGAGTTCTCACTGGTTAAAAAATAAAAACTTGACTCGACTAACTTTAAAATGTGCCCTTGAACCATTGTGTTTTAGCAGCAAACTTGACTGGTTTTGACTTTTATGATTGTCATCAGCTGTGACCGGTCATACGCTGCTAGGTTGCCCGGTGTCATAGGGAGGGCATGCATTGCTCTCAGTTGCACGGCGAATTGGAGAGTGCTGTCCCCCAGTGAGTGAGCCTGAGATCACTTTAAGGGAACTCAGGGTGACTCTGCGATATCCGTTCACGTGCGCCATTTGCCAACACGAAGCGTTACCCCGCTATACGAGAGATGCGACGGATCCTTGGTCACATGGTACCGGCGGCACGAATGGTAGCAAAGGCTTCAACCTGACAGATTGGGCCCTCGGCCAGGACCGCAAGGCCGACCGCAGGAGAACGGCCGTCGGCCATGACGGATGGCAAAACGCTCACCTTGAGCACGTCTCGGTTTGCTGCGGGCAGCAGGATGATGAGCAGGTTGAGAGCTCTGATTCTTTGCTTTCGAATTTCAATTTCTGTAAAATGAAGGGGATAAAAAAGTAAGAAGAAAAAAGACCCGCCGCGGTTATTGGACGAGCAGCCGAAGTGCGGCACTGACGATCGGCGCTGCGGTGCGAGGGCATGGCCCTCTCCTGGGCCTCGTTCAACCAAAACCCACATCCCACGTGGAGACTTCCCAAGAGACCAAATATAAAAGATGCACATTCCTCAAAAAGAGCTGTCGGTCGAGATGCCTATTTAAATTTTTTTATGCAGCAGTTGATTTACTTTCTCAATTTCAATATTTTTTATTAATGTCTCTGCTTTAGAGTAAGAGACAATAAACTGTAACACATTGCTGTAATAACAGTAATGTAAGATTACATGCCAAATCATCTCGCTTGGCGAGTGATGGAGTCAGCCCGCTTGTCGCCTGACGAGACGCAGGGGAACAGAACCCCTCCAAAATTACGACTGCCCCACAGCAGCGACACACAACGTCTGGTGCTCGAACAATTAATGAGAATTTCTCCGTGTGTGCATGTGTGCAGATTTGCTCAGCATTTCTGTGAGGTCTTGGGGAAGGGGAAATCCCTCAGCCTGGAAAACATCATGGGGCAAATTGGGGATGACCCTGCCGAGGATGCGGTGCCTCAAATATTGGGAGAAGTAGTCACCGCCTGTGAGTGGCTGGCTGAGTTGCCATCTGCTGAGGAAGTACTGAAGGCGATCCAGAGTCTGAGACCAGGAAAAGCACCGGGCAGAGATGATCTCCCAAGCGAAATGTTGAGGTAGGGTGGCGTTTGTGCACAGACTGCCCCACATGACATCATAAACACAGTCTGCACCACTGGACGGGTTCCGCAGGATTGGAAGGATGCTCTGGTGGTCCCCCTCTTTAATAAGGGGGACCGCACAGACTAACAACTACAGGGGAATCTCAACCCTCTGTGCCGGGAAAAATCCTGACAAGGATTATTCAACATCGGCACGCTGAGGAGAAACTTGCGGAGCCCCAATGCGGTTTCAGGAAAGGGGAGTCCTGCATAGATGCCATATTTTCTGTCCGTCTGCTACAGGAGAGGTGTAGAGAATTCCAACAAGACCTACATCTCTGCTTTGTTGACCTGGTCAAGACCTATTATACCATGAGTAGGCCTGAGCTCTGGGTTGTTCTTCGTGCTTTCGGAGTCCCTGACTCTATGCTCAAACATTAATGACCTTCATGATGGTGAGCGGGCCCGGGTAAAACTACGGGGCCGGGAGTCAAAGCCAATCCCTGTTCACCTTAGGGTGCGACAGGGATGTCCTCTGGCTCCCACATTATTTAACATCTATTTCGATCACGTAGTTCGTGAAGCCTTCGATGGCTGTACCGGAGGAATTTCCATCTAGTACAGATACAATGGGAAGCTGATCGATGCCCGGTGCGGTCAAGGGATGGCTCCCCATTGGTCAACCATGTTATGTATTCCGATGATCTGGTTATTGCTGCTCACTCAGAGGAGGAGTTAGAGGCGCTGCTGCTGAACCTGGAGCGTGCCACTAAGAGGTGGGGCCTTACTATCAGCCCCACCAAAATTAAGCACCTGGGTATGTTGTACCATCAGACACTCCACCCCACAACTCCCAATTAGTGATGGGGCAGTTGTGAAGAGTGGGAAGTTTCCCCCATACCTGGGCAGTGTGTGCTCATGACCGGCTTCGGTTTGACAGTAGAGGTCTCACTTCGAATCATTCGAGTGGCATCTTTTTATTGGCTGTGTAAAGCTGTGTGGAAGCTATCTGGTCTGTCACTCCACACTAAACTTCAGGTCTTCTCGGCCACCGTCATGCCCTTCCTTCTCTACGCTTGCGAAACGTGGAACCCCCTAATGGAACATCTTCGCCGGTTAGAAACATTTAGGCTGGCCTGCCTACGATCCATCCTGGGTTTAACCAGGCTGGATTGCGTGGGGAGCTCACAAATCCTTGAAAGATCTGGACAAAGTTTCATCGGTGAGCTCTGGCAGGCAAGGTTGCGTTGGCTGGGTCATTTAGCCCACATGCCCAGCCACCGCATGCCTAAACAGCTTTTGTTCGGCCGGATAGAGGGGGCTAAACGGGCACGGCACGGGCTAGAGAAAAGATGGAGTGACGTGGTACAGGAGGATGTGGAGCTGAGTGGACTTGCCGATGACTGGGACCAGCGGTGTCAAGATCGGCCTCTGTGGAGGAGGCTCGTGAAAGACGCTGCTGGGCAGTTGGAGGCAGTCGCCCTCCAACAACAACAGAGGGCGGAGGAGCGACGCTCACAACAACGAGCAGAGCGCCTGGCAGCTAAAACACAGCAAGTCGGCACAGTAGGGAGCATAGGTGGTGCATCGGCCAGTCATCTCAGTCATCTCAGTCAGTCGACTCATGGAACCTGCTGGGTCTGCCCCATGACCTCCTGCTGGCTGGCATTCGACACTTCACGTGGCCTTCATGTGCACAGAGCCTGGCACAAGCACTGTGGTGACATCACCGTTACTTAGTGGCGAATGGCGGTTGTTGCATGTTTGTGCGCCTATGCACGATTGTACTCCCGTGTGTGCAATCGCGCGAGTGCACTTGTGTCTGTGCGCACAACTGCTCGTCGGTGCGTGCGCGCGTACTCTCCACGCTGGTGAAGGCGGTGAGGTACTCGGCGGTGAGCAGCGGCGCCGGCAGCTCGCGGATGAAGAGCTTGAGGAGGCTGGCTGCGTCGTGTGGCCTCACATCATCCCAGGTGACGGCGCCGTCATAGAATCCGGCCTCCAGCTCCTGCCGCAGACTCTGAGCACGGGGAGAGGAGCAGGAGCGACCGGCGGCAAACGAGAAGGTGAGGGAGGAGGTGAGAGGGGGGCAAGGGAAAGGGCGAGGCAGCGGACGTGGCTGAACGATCGCCGCGAGGGGTCGTTCACCCGTGCAGCATAGCAACCAAAATCTTGATTTGAAGCTTTTGTGACTGCAGGAATCCATACATTCTGGTTCTTTCGGTAAAGTCACGTGGGTAGAAGAAATAGCAACTCCTCAATTCGATTGGCTCGGACTTCACTCGACTTATCTTGACCACGTGGCTCAGGGACTCCAATAAGTCGGCGCATGGCCGACTTCCACGGCAATCGGCTCTGGCTACGGCCGATCTGCTTCTGGCAGTGTGATCCCCAGTTCCAGACAATCTTCTATGATGTTATAGAGACATTTTGTTATCCCTGAACACCCTCTGATCGTTGTTCTACTGAGAGATATCTCTCGTCCAATCGAACTGCGTGAGAGAAGGTTGTCTCCTTTGGACGAGGTCTAAGATGTCCCTTTTTAAACCCAGAATTGTTGCTTGAACACTCAGATACAATACCGGATTAATGACTATGACGGCAATGATGATGGCAATGATAGGAATGGATGATGAATATCACTATCGTTATACTACATCGTGACAGAGATGGCGATGACAATGAATATGATTATCATCGTGAAATGACAACAATGACCACTGCAAAATGACAATGCGAAGGACAATGCATCCTGACCGCAAAGCTGCATATGATGTAGCGGTGTGTTGGATGACGATGATGGTTGACGATGGATCGGGCACCTCGGTAGGGGCGATGCTACGTGCACCACGCCCGTCACCTGCGGGCCACGCTACCTTAATACGCGACGATGATCCGGGGATCCTGAAGATGCCCTCCGTATCCAGCCCGGTCTGCTCCAGGTGCGTCAACAGCTGCACGGGGACACGAGGGCCGGTGGGGGTGACCGCAGTGAGTCGAGAGCCGCATAAGTGTGTGCGTACGTGCGTGCGTCCGTGCATGTGTGCTAGGTGTAATGAGTCGATGAGAGGCACCGGAATAAATATCGCTCAATTTTTCCTCCAAATCTTAATTTAGATCGTCATATCACTGTCGTGTCATATGACAAGCCGTTGTTTAGAGAATGGCCCACAGAAGTGTACCTCAGAGAACTACTCCTTAAGATGCCTTCAAGTATTCTCTCGTCCATACAGCAGAGGGCAGCAATTTCACCCGCTCGGCACATGAGAATAATGTACACGTAAGATTTGAATCACCGAGATAGAATTGTCAGATTAAATTAACAACACATTTTATTGTGATGGGATTTTCTGGGTGCAGTCATTGGTAACTGGGCTGAGACCACCACCTCACTATACTACACTTGAGAACTCCATTTAATCACAGGCAGCAAAACCTGGATTTGAACCCAGAATTTTAGCGGTGCCGGCTCAGCGATCTGACCTCTCCAAATACTCCCAACCACCTCTGGGAGCCACTCACCTCTTGAAGAAAGAGCGGCACTTTGACACCGGGCGAAATTTTCTGATCCTGCTCCAGCAGAGTGCTTAAAGGAACCCCAAAGAGCCGCGAATCTGCCACCGGTCCAAAGAAGAGAGACGATGGGCAGAGTGAGCACCACGGCAACGGTCCGCCAGCTTTGACGTTCTACGCCACCAAACCTCAGCACCTTCTGACCTCGTCCGCGGGGTCCAGGCCACACAACATCACAGTGACGGCTCTTTAATAACAACTTGGGCGAGCCTGTAACGTCGTAGTTGAGACATCTCAGGTCGAGAAAGGCAAAATTCCATTATCTCGCCGTGTGTGAAATTGCTTCGTGGAGGGCAGGTGCCAGGATGGTTTGAGAGGTTGGCAGACTGGCGCAGGGGTTGCGGAAGCGTCCCCGACAATGCAGACGCTGTTACCGCAAACGATCGGCGTGGGCGCCAAGGGGGACCGTTTTGGTTTTATTGCAATCACCAAATACCAGCCCGCAGATGCCGCATGGCAGTGAATGACGCAGAGCGAGGTCAGAAGGCCTCCTCCAGGAAGAGGGACGTTGGGATAGGTTTGACGGTCGCCGAGCGGAGAGATGAACAACAGGAACAAGAAAAATGTCGTGTCCCTGAGGCCTTGCATTTAAAGCCTGGCACGGATAAGAGCAGTCAGTTTTGTAGGTCATGTCTCTGGTAAGCATGGGGCTATCAACGGGTGAATGTCAAGAGAAAAACGACCGTGGTTTGAAAGTTAAATTTCAAGGCCTAAAATTGAGATCACTGCTGGTGGAACAGCCTCAATCGAGGGTATCTGGTCTGCTCTCCCACACTGGCCAGACTTGTTGGAAGAGATGGCATCCTCTATAGTTAACCCCACCACGTGCGACCCGGTGGACTCTCGTGGTGCTGTGCCCATGGTCACTGCTAGGTGGGCACAGGTGGCAGGAGCGGGGATTCAATAAACTTGTGCCGCTGTTTAAACTGCAGTGCCGGAAAGTTGTATTTAACCGTCGCCCTCTATGGCACGTCCGGTATGCCGATTACCACCACAGCTCTGCTCTAGCAGCTCACCTCATTTCTCGGGTCAACGTCAACAACCGTTACTGCTCTGGACATTCCTCAATGTGCGGCGACCGGTATTTTACCGATATATTGGCATTCTACCAATATACTGTCGTCACCGGTAACAACTCTCGTGCTAACCGTTAATGCCATATTAGTAGCGTTCAAACAGTGACAAGGAAGCGAGCGGACAGGCGTCCGGGCATGGGGGCGTGGGGGTAGCACCTTTGGCGCGCACTTTGACGGGCCTGTTGCGCGTGAAGTCAATGTGCAGCGCATCGAAGAAGGCGGCGAGCTCGATAAGCGCCACGCGGTGCACCTTGCGCATGTCCTCGGGGGACAGGTCTCCGATGCGCGTCACGCCCAGCTGGTGCTGCAGCAGCATCGCCGTCACTGCCGTCGCCGCTGCAGTCGCTGTCGTCGTCACCGTCGTCGCCTGCAAGGGGAGATGGCGAGCGGCGTCATGAGGCCCCGGCGAGTGGTCGTGCGCCACTGCGTCGATCGGGGAGATGCGACCCACACGTAGTAGCTGCTCGTCTGGTAGCGACACCTTGGCTGCATGTCCCACGCTGCCCGACAGCATGGCCGAGTCACTTTTAAGAGCAACGTTGTGGGGCACTCGGTGATGTCACCGTGGTGATGTCACCGTGGCAGGGATTTTAGTGCGGCTACGTCGCAATGCCAGGCAGTGCGACATCCATGACGGCGGTGCTACAACGTGCGGTACAGCACGGGAAACCTCAAACCCACAGTGGCGACACTTGGGGTCTTCGCACGTGAGGGGCTCACAAGTGACACCATCACATTTATCCCTGTATTTCAGGAACGATACAGGAGGATTTCTCCATAAATCTGGCTGTCGCCTGATGCTAGTTGTAATTACTGGCGAAACGTCGTACTCGGATTGTAAATGTTGTGGATTTAAATCTTGACTCAAAGCTTTCGTGACTGCAGGAATTCATATTCTTTGGGTTTTTTGGTCAAGCCACGTAGATAGATACTTGGCTTTACCGAAAGACCCAAAGAATATGTTGTGGATTTACTCTCCAACACACCGGTGTGCTGTACTAGTGTTGTGTCCTGTAACTAACCACACGGAGACGTGGGCTGGAGGCAACGCGATTATTGTAACAACTCTTAAACTCTGTTAACACTACTCTGTTAAACACTACAGTAACACGAAGGGTTACGGCCCCATTCACCCGATAGCCTAAGGGACAGAGCCTCCCTTCTAGCGTACTCTACCCACTCCGGGCTACGCACACGCCGGTCCCTTGCAACGGCGGCTAGGGGAAGGCTGGACCAACCGACCCACCCAGGTTACGGGACTCGCCCTGAACCGCTTCAACCCCGGCTTAGCGAGAGCCTCGGGAAGGGTCCCAGGGGGTCCGAGCGACCTCGGCTCCGCTACAGCCAGCTTCACGAGAACCATGGTTGAGGGTCCCCGGGTCTTCGAGCTTGAGTTGGCGAGTACTGCCCCAATCGTCCCGAGGGCTGCCCTTTTATCCCCAGGTCGGGGTCACCCATCCCCTCATGACCCCCCCCTAGAACCTTCTGGAAGGTCTTATCTTAAGGGGTCTTAGGAAGTGGTGGGGGGGGGTCCCCATCAGCCCCCACCCCTATCGGCCCGTGAACGTGGTGGCAGGTCAGCTGCCCACAGCGCCTTATTACGGTGCAACACTAGTAATGAATTGGCACGTTCTATTAACGTGACAAACCTTACTAATTGTATGTGTCAGGTGGTGGCGGATTTAACGACACATTTATATTCATGCGATCTCAACCAAAAAATGTGTATTATGGACTTGGGGTCTGTTCGGCAATGTTTTGGCGGGAATCAAATTGGCGATCCTTAATTTTAAAAGTGGCCAGAATGAGAAATGCCACCACCAGACGTCGCCAGCGCTTTCTAACTTCGGCTAAATCCGGCAGCTGCTGTACAGTCGACACACGACTTTGTCCCCTTGGTCACTGAACTCAAGGAAACCACTCCAATGTCATCATGCGCAGCGTGACATTTTGCTGCTCATACCTACAACACGGAACGTTGGACTTCCAATCCCCACACACGGCAGGCACAGGGAAGACTCGTGGTGGACTCACGTTCGGTGTGCCGGCAGCGGCGGCGTTGCCCCGGTGTTTGTGCCGCCCCTGCGATGCCTCCTCCGAGTAGGGCACGTCGCAGATGATGTCTGTCTCTGACACCACCGAGTTGCGTGACCGTTCCCTCTGCAGCGCCGCCGCCGCTGCCGCCGCCGAGTCTAGTATGAGACAACCACAATCATCAAACGGCTCCTACACTTTACTTTGTACCGGCTTGATTTAACATTCCGTACGCATTCACCGATGCTATATTAAGTTGGACTACGTCGGCCGTTACCTGCAATTTACGAAATTGCTTCCGAAGTGCCACTGATGCCAGCAGTTAAAACCTTTATCATAGAGTTCTACTCTCTTCCTCCGTAGTTTCTCGAGCTGTCCGTCCTCCTCCCCAGGGGTTGGTTAACTTTACACTAATGCCGACGTGACGGGTTAGCTCCGATCCAAGTTAGCTCCGTGTGCCGGGGGAAGCTGGTGGGCGGAGCAGAGCGTCGCGGCCGCTTGCCGGCTCGTGCGAACGATGGAGCGAGCGCAACGCAGGACGCGCGATCACTCACCATCGTCCGACAGCTCGTCCTGTGAGCTGGGCTGCATGCAGCTCATTCCCATCCCGTCCGTGTCCTGCCCGACAACAGAGACAAGACAGCGTCGCCTACGATTCGCGAGAACCCAACTCCACATCGCACCGAGACCCAGGAGCCGCCGAGGGTGACACATTTAAAATCAACATGCGTTGAGTATTTGGCTGCTATAAATTTCCACATGATAAACTACTTAATTGAGCTATCCTTTGTAGCCAGGTCGCTTCTGAAGGAGCTATATAGCTCAGTGGGCCTTACCTGGTAAAATAAAAAGTTTAGTTTCTATTTTATTTTGGGGCAACACTCGTGTCTGTTGGCTCAAGTCTGGGACTGCAGTTCGTTACTGTCGCCACTCGGGGGCGGTGTCATCACGGCGAGTGAGCAAGGACGGAGAGCAAAGGGAGACGGGGATCTAGGCACCGAAGTGTGTGCAACAGGTCGCTCCCCCAACTATCAACGGCTTCCACGCCCCTGCGTCCCTTGCGCTTCTTAAGCTTTCATTTCTACCACTCAAGGGCCGTGAGCCTGCGGTGGAAATTCTGCATTCCTACAGCGAGCGCAAGTGCTTCCACGTGACAATCACAAATAATGTTTTCACAAAGTGGCACTAATTTGATCGACTCTGGGAGAAGATGACGATGCATTGAGTCAACCTTTGAAAACCTTCAGAATGTGATCCAAGCACACAAGGCTTTTTGATCTTAGTTCTTCGATTTCATATTGGACTTTGTGTAAGCGCACGATTGAGTCCCGTTGCTGCTGCCTATCGGTGAACAGGAAACGGCCCCTGCCATTGCCAACGGTCGATTCCAGTTGGAGGCCAACCCAATTTCAAATCCCACTTCAAATTCTTAAAAGCACTTAATTTATTTTTAATGACGGTGTGTGTGCATTTCAAATATTCCTATGCTGAAACCTTTGGGCAAATATCCCAAAGCAGAATCCTACTTTATGTTTCTCCAGCCCTTGAGAGTATTTGGCTGGCTCCTGGTAAAGTTTTTGTTATTTTATGATTTTGTTTCATCTGGAAAGAGCCGCGAGATGTTTATTATGCATTTTACATTTTTAATTCCTCCCAGTCTTTTTTTAACGACGGCACCTCGTCTCTCCGGGCTGCGAGCCACGATAATTTACTGCGCCACTAGAGGAAGCGGCGTGCGTGGCTGGAGGAGATAAGCGGTGCCGAGCGAGCGGGGAGAGTGAGCAGAATGGCAGGCGACTCGTGTGGCGCGTTCGTCTGGAAGCTCCAAACCAACAAATCACCTCGGGCGATGGGAACCGTTCGTTTGGTGGAGACCAGGCCCAGAAGGACAGTGGTGCCTTGTGGGGTTGCTACATGAACGACAGGTTGAGAAGCCACGAACCAGAAGTTCCGACGGTTACGAGACCACCAGCACCGATTTGTGCAAAGTCCTAGACCAGGGAAGTATGACGGTCACGTTGGCCGAGTGAACGCGACTTTGTCACGCCCCAAACTCGGATAATGCCCACGTAAACAAGGAGCTATACTGCTTAAAGCTCCACGCAGATGGATTCAAAGAGGCTATTTCTGTACTGCCATTTCCTGATCGCCTTACAGCCCAAGCCTACAGCCCCTGGAATTCCCAGCCCATCTAAGTGCGTAATTAACTTGGCTCAACCTGCAGGTAACAGGCCGTCAACAGGATGAGCTCACGAATGGCTTGGTGAATCCCCACCACGTGGCGAGCGTTCTGTCACGCGAGTAGGAAGGCAGCGCCGTGCACGAGCGGCACAAAGCACGAGCGGCGCAGAGCACGGCCACTGCGCTGCACCCCGTGACACCATCTCGGTAATCGGTGATGCTCAATCTCGTTACTTTGCGATTTTCCCAAGTGACAAATCGACAGAATTTGTGAGAGAAGGATGTGATGTCGATTTAGGAGTCGTTCCAGGTGAGTGTTGAAGATTCTTTATTAGTTCCCGAGGGGTAGTGCCAGGTAAACTGTTGAGTGACATCACGCCGGGCCCAAGCTCCTCTCGGATTGGGGGGCCAGCAGAGCTGTGGTGTGGGAGAAGCCACCAGTCATTCACCGCTGACGAGGAGAGCAAACTTGGGGAGGACAAACGGACATTTGTTGATGCAGTGCCCACGCCAGCACGCCCCTAGCACAGGCCTGAATGACGCGATCCCAAGTAGGTATCATGGGTCCTGTGTCCGTTCACCACGTTTAATGCCTGTTCTTGCCGAGCGAAGTATATGAGAGCTTGGGCGGCCTTTCCGACCGCATCAAAATACTTGTTCGGAGTTCGTTTGGCGACACCACACTGTCCGGAAATCTGAGGAGCTGGCGAGGGATCGGGCACCACCAGCAAGGGCGCGGTTTGTCCGCGGCAAGGCCGCGCTGCTCACCACATTGCTGCCGAAGATGTCGCGCACGTCGCGCACCGTCTGCTTGTTCTTGCGCCGCATCGTCTGCGTGTACGTGTTGATGCGGCGGATGGCGGCGGCCGCCTGGGTGCGCGTGAGCGTCGCGAGCAGCGCCTCGGCGTCCAGCGCCCGCTCTTCTTCCGCGGCGGCGGCAGCGCCGCCATCATCGGCGCAGCTCCCAGGGCCCTCGGCTGCGGCCCCCCCCGCCTGCTGCTGCTGCACGACGAGTGTGGAGAGGCCTGTCTCGTGCAACCAGTCCGCCTGCTGCTCCTCCTCTGTGAGAGACGCGTGCATGCGAGGGGCAGGGAGAGAGGGGGGAGGCACACACATTCATGCGAGGTGTGTGAGAGTGGTGGTGCTGTGGTTGGCGCGCCGCACGGGAGATCTTTGGCTTTGTTACACAAACTCCAGCTGGGAGCACTGGTGGCGCATCTGCCAGTCATCTCAAACTACCTGCGAGCGGTTTACACTTCAAATGGCCTCAAGCTGCACCTAGCCGGCTGTAGTTGTGTTTACAGGTGCATGTCATGTGTTCGCTAACAGCACTTCCCCTCAAAGTGCATGAAGCCTCTATGGGATGTGTGTTTGTCACAACATGAAATCACGCCTCGGCATCTCCGACACAGCCAGTGGTACCCGCGCTGCAGCGGGCCGCCTCACCGTCCGCGGGTTTGATGAGGGCCTCGTCGTTGCCCCGGCTCTCCTTGATGTCGTGGACCTCGGTCCAGAAGTCTCGCTCCGAGAGCTCATCCAGCGAGTCCTGGGAGCTCGAACGGTCGAAGGAGGGACGCGCGGGCGACACGGAGCGCCGGGAGGCCGGAGTCATCACGTCCCTGGTCACCACCCAGGAGAGGGGCGGTGGACCGGACAATCCAGGTGAGTTGACATTGTTTGTAAACAGTTTCCGATTTTATGAGACCTCCTTTGCCAGAAACAAGATATAGGAATAGGTTTTACCCTTTTAACTGGCACAAAAACTGACACCTTTATTCAAGGCATCATGTTTGCAATGACCACAACACAAGCAGTCAAAATGCAAACAAAAAAGACAACTCTGATAATAATATGCACTGTCCTTGAATTTGATTGGTCCACACCCGAGACAGCTTTTCTTAGAGCCTAGGTCCAACACCAATGGAGACTAGGCTCTAAGAAAAGCTGTCTCGGGTGTGGACTAATCAAATTCAAGGACAGTGCATATTATTATCAGAGTTGTCTTTTTTGTTTGCATTTTGACTGCTTGTGTTGTGGTCATTGCAAACATGATGCCTTGAATAAAGGTGTCAGTTTTTGTGCCAGTTAAAAGGGTAAAACCTATTCCTATATCCAGTTTCCAATTTCTTCTGTAACGTGGTTGCTTTCACTCCGATTTATATTTGCTTGATTGTTGTGCTTAATTTAATGTTTTATAATATATATTTTTTTGTAATTTTGGAGACCCAGACAACTCTTGCATCCGGCATGTGGAACAATTCCCCACTTTTCATTCTTATCCTCACAAGCTCGGTGCAAGCTCACTACCACCGGTCCTCTGGTGCCACTGCAACATGGAACTCCATTGCTGCTTCGCTGCCTGTGCGTGACTGCCTCCATAAAATTAAAAACGCCCACTGATTCTGTGCAGCTTCTCGAGATGCGTTCCAGTTTAGAGACCGTGTGTCTGGCAGCAATGTAAGGACACAATGCGGTCTGGTTAGCGACATCTACAGTCGTAGCTGTCTATTGCGTGGGCCTCACAGAGCCCACGGCTCCATCACCGGGGAGGCAATGCTCCATACCGCTAACGCGTCAAGAACGCAGCTGCGTGTGCCACGGGAGGCGGAAAAAAATCGTTTGTCCGCTGTGCTTTATTCTGCTGCCACGAGCAGTGAACAGCATGGCCACTGCACGAGCGGCACAGCCAGCGCGGCGAGTAGTCTCTACAACACAGGCAAGGCCGCCCCCTGTACACCGGACGCATAGAGCAGCTGCACATAGCCACCACGATCTAACGCGCCGTCATGATTCAGGGCCATCATTTTGATTCGAGAATCGATCCTGTTTCTCTGCAGCATCTCATTCGTACCGTTCTAAACTCCATCTCATTCCATAATTTGTACTTTTTTCTAGTCTGTAGTGACCGTTTCATTCGTACTGTTCATCTAATCTGTATTCATCTTCTTGGTTCTTTCGGAAAAATCACGTAGAATGGAAATAAAATAAAACATGTATTTTATTATGTTTTATTTTTATTATTTTATTTCCATTATGCGTGACTTTACCGAAAGAACCAAGATAAATCCCTGCAGTCACGAAAGCTTTAAATCGAAATTTAATCTGTACTCGCCATCTCGTTTGTACTGAAGACTAGCAAGCGTATCGTGGAAACGCACGCACGAAGCGAGTAGTTCAGTACGTAGTTTGTGTGTATGTAGTAGCGAGTGAACATGTGCTTATGAAGTCGTGTTTCAGACGCGCTACTTAAATATCCATGGGGCATGGGCATGGGCCCCATGGATATTTAACCACCGGTCCCCACTCCCAAACCGTCCCCATGCATCCAGACACAGCCCTGGTCGCTCTAGGACAGGGAGTTGCGGTGTGGCGATGACAACCCCCGGCGAGATGGAGCAAGCTCCGTCAACTTGAATTGAGAATGCGGTACATCCGTACCTGCCACCGGCAGGTAGTGTCCACTGCAGTGGTCAGCACGACGGCACTTACACATGCACTAGTCATACACACGCAAGACAGCACTTACACATGCACTAGTCATACACACGCACACCACGCACAACCACACGACACACAGCAGCAACACTACACACACACAGCAGCCACACAGCCACACTACACACATCAGCCACACTACACACATCAGCCACACAGCAGCCACACAGCCACACTGCCCACACTACACACAGCAGCCACACTGTCCACACTACACACAGCAGCCACACTGCCCACACTACACACAGCAGCCACACTGCCCACACTACACACAGCAGCCACACTGCGCACACACAGCAGCCACACTGCGCACACACACAGCAGCCACACTGCCCACACTACACACAGCAGCCACACTGCCCATACACACAGCAGCCACACTGCCCACACACACAGCAGCCACACTGCACACACAGCAGCCACACTGCCCACACACACAGCAGCCACACGGCCCACACACACAGCAGCCACACTGCCCACACACACAGCAGTCACACTGCCCACACACACAGCAGTCACACTGCCCACACACACAGCAGCCACACGGCCCACACACACAGCAGCCACACTTACACTACACTCCCACAGTCACATTCCACGTGTTTACTCCCAACAAGACGCAGACACCTGCGCTCACAAATAGGTACATACCTGAGAGCTACACACTCACAAACACGTTACGTCCATATTTACACACACACATCGACACGCAAGCTGTACATTACACACAAAGATACCCGTATAGCCTTAACAGACTGATGGGGCAAGTGCTGTTAGCGAGCACTTATGTTAGCGAGCAGTATAAAGACAAAGATCCCCCGTGTAACCTTAACAGACTGTTGGGGAAAGTGCTGTTAGCGAGCACCGATGAAGGTCGGCACGGCGCTTTCGGCGGTGGGTGGCCAGCACCACCACCGCACACGCGCGCGTTGTACACGTGTTGATACGTACAACAACAACCGCCATTCGCCACTAAGTAGCGGTGACGTCAGCACGGCGCTTGTGCCAGGCTATGTGCACGTAGAGGCCACATGCATACACACGCGCGCTGTGCACATTGGCACACATGAACAATGTGTACAGTACCATAACTGTCCTAACTTGAACTGAAACCGTTATCAACTGAACATGATTAGATCAACATTTCACACAACTGGCCTCCCTGCCTACTGCTCTCAATGCAATTCTTTACCTGAACCGTTAGCCAACTCTATAGGCTATAACATCTGGAACTTCACCAGCATTGGTTCAAGCGACCGACTGCGGATTAGACACTGTCGAAGCCCGCCCAGAGTTTGCTTGTATTTAATGGATGCTGCTGAAATGCACTCCCAAAAAGCCTTGTAGACGATGGGAGGTGGAAAAAAACCGCACCTCGTTTTGCACCGAGGAGCACGTGCGCGGAAGAACACGAAGTGTCTGCATATTTGTTCTGGGTTATTGATCACGTCGGAGTGTTTGGCAAGGACAAAGAAAGTGTAATGGAGGCGCAAGGACATATTAAGGCTTCCCTGAGAATATCCTGACAACCCGCAAATGCTTACTGGAAATTATTGAGCATTTGGGAGTTATCAAATACTCACGTATGCTCCCTTTAAGTCGGGTGCTGTGGGGGTGAGGGCATGATGTGGATGTTGAAAGTGGATGAGCTCTTGGTTATTTCCGGCCAGCACTTCCCCCCCTTACTGTCAGTTTTTAATAATTTTACACGGAACATGGCACGTGCATCGCGTTCTTGACCAGACGCGATTTGTCAAGTTATTTCGATGAAGCTAAATTAATAAGCAGACAAATCGCCTCCTTCCCACGTTTGTCTCTCAACATGAAAAAGAAATTGAAATATCCGACACCTCCCATCAGCAGCAGTGGTTTTGATGAAATTCAACTCTTTACGGGTGTCAACGTTCAGTGTCTCGGAATAGATCGACGATTAAAACTGCGGCTTTCAAAAGTGTTTATGTTTATCCCCAAGGCATCCCTCGTGTGCGTCTCCAGCCAAAATGCGGAACACGAGGGTCACGGTTCAGGTGTTGTCGTCATGCTTTTGCAGTCGAAACGTCGTGAGAATGTTATTGTTTTATATTTTTATTTCATTGTTTCCCTTCTACGTCACCTTACCGAAAGAACCAAGACTATATAAACCGGAAGAGTTTACATCCGAAGCCCGGGGAAGTCACCCAAATTGAAAGATGGCGCCGCGCCCGCGAGATGTTAACGACCTCGCCTGGTATGGAGGAGGTCGTGGGCCCGATCCCGACGCCTGCTGGATATTTGGAGTCTGCATGTTCTCCTCGTGGCCACGTGGATTGTTCTCCTCGCCTTCCCGGTTTTCCCTCCACATTTAGAAACACGCGTTTAGAGTATTTGGCTGCTATATACATTTCTACATTATAAGCCACTTTGTTGAGCTATTATGTGACCAGGTATCTTCTGAAAAGCACTATATATAGCTCAGCGGGCCTTACCTTGTAAAAAAAAAGTTCGCAGTTATGACACGAAAACAATGACTCCCAGGGGTGCGGGGATACACGTGGCTGTTGCCTGGTTGTTTCAGCCGTCCCGAAGTGAGACCCGGATCCTAGCCACGTATCCATTTGAATTACACCGTAAGCGTTTATCGTGTAAAACAACATGTCACTGAAGACGTAGCTACAGGCTCAACCACTTACACCCAGCATCCTTTGGGTACTGTGCCGTGACTGGATTATAGTTAGCAGTGAGCAGCGTTATGAGAGGTCCATTTTATCATCTTCAGCAGTAATGGCCCAATGAGATAATTGGCTCTTTTTCATGGGCGTCTTGCGAAGCGATATAGATGATGTACAGTTGAGATCTTCGTGACAAGCAATGGAGAGCACCCCACGGGGTGGTGCTTCAGCACTAACCACTTGGCAGGCAGAACATCGGATGAGCTGGCGAGACGGGTTGATGAACGCACAAGCAGATGAACGATTAACACGCCACCTTTGTCAACCTAGTGCTAGGTGAAGGCCTCTCCACGCCGTGTGTTGGGAGGGGAGGGTCATACTTCACCACGCTGGTCAGTGCGGGTTCGCGATGGCTAGGGAAGCCTGGCCTAGTCACCGGTTTAAACATCACCAGCCACTGAGATTTAGCCGTGGCCTAGAATCGAATACGGGAGCGCAGTTGCATGTAAAAACCACCGCCCACCACACACGAATATCGCAAACGGATACACAGGTAGACGACAGGCGGGCAGGTGGGTACATGGAGAGACAGGTGGGTACATGGAGAGACAGGCGGGTACATGGAGGGACCGGTGGGTACATGGAGAGACAGGTGGGTACATGGAGAGACAGGTGGGTACATGGAGAGACAGGTGGGTACATGGAGGGACAGGTGGGTACATGGAGGGACAGCTGGGTACATGGAGAGACAGGTGGGTACATGGAGAGACAGGTGGGTACATGGAGAGACTGGCGGGTACATGGAGAGACAGGCGGGTACATGGAGGGACAGGCGGGTACATGGAGGGACAGGCGGGTACATGGAGAGACAGGTGGGTACATGGAGAGACAGGCGGGTACATGGAGAGACAGGCGGGTACATGGAGAGACAGGTGGGTACATGGAGAGACAGGCGGGTACATGGAGAGACAGGCGGGTACATGGAGAGACAGGCGGGTACATGGAGAGACAGGCGGGTACATGGAGAGACAGGCGGGTACATGGAGAGACCGGTGGGTACATGGAGAGACAGGTGGGTACATGGAGGGACAGGTGGGTACATGGAGGGACAGGTGGGTACATGGAGAGACAGACGGGTACATGGAGAGACAGGCGGGTACATGGAGGGACAGGCGGGTACATGGAGGGACAGGCGGGTACATGGAGGGACAGGTGGGTACATGGAGGGACAGGTGGGTAGACAGGTGGGTACATGGAGAGACAGGCGGGTACATGGAGGGACAGGCGGGTACATGGAGAGACAGGCGGGTACATGGAGAGACAGGCGGGTACATGGAGAGAAAGGCGGGTACATGGAGAGACAGGCGGGTACATGGAGAGACAGGTGGGTACATGGAGAGACAGGCGGGTACATGGAGAGACAGGCGGGTACATGGAGAGACAGGCGGGTACATGGAGGGACAGGCGGGTACATGGAGGGACAGGTGGGTACACGGAGGGACAGGTGGGTAGACAGGTGGGTACATGGAGAGACAGGCGGGTACATGGAGGGACAGGCGGGTACATGGAGAGACAGGCGGGTACATGGAGAGACAGGCGGGTACATGGAGAGACAGGCGGGTACATGGAGAGACAGGCGGGTACATGGAGAGACAGGCGGGTACATGGAGATACAGGTGGGTACATGGAGAGACAGGCGGGTACATGGAGAGACAGGCGGGTACATGGAGAGACAGGCGGGTACATGGAGAGACAGGCGGGTACATGGAGAGACAGGTGGGTACATGGAGAGACCGGTGGGTACATGGAGAGACAGGTGGGTACATGGAGGGACAGGTGGGTACATGGAGAGACAGACGGGTACATGGAGAGACAGGCGGGTACATGGAGGGACAGGCGGGTACATGGAGGGACAGGCGGGTACATGGAGGGACAGGTGGGTAGACAGGTGGGTACATGGAGAGACAGGCGGGTACATGGAGGGACAGGTGGGTACATGGAGAGACAGGCGGGTACATGGAGAGACAGGCGGGTACATGGAGAGACAGGCGGGTACATGGAGAGACAGGTGGGTACATGGAGGGACAGGCGGGTACATGGAGAGACAGGCGGGTACATGGAGGGACAGGCGGGTACATGGAGAGACAGGCGGGTACATGGAGAGACAGGTGGCTACATGGAGAGACAGGCGGTTACATGGAGAGACAGGCGGGTACATGGAGAGACAGGTGGGTACATGGAGAGACAGGCGGGTACATGGAGAGACAGGTGGGTACATGGAGAGACAGGCGGGTACATGGAGGGACAGGCGGGTACATGGAGAGACAGGTGGCTACATGGAGAGACAGGTGGGTACATGGAGAGACAGGTGGCTACATGGAGAGACAGGTGGCTACATGGAGAGACAGGTGGGTACATGGAGAGACAGGTGAGTACATGGAGAGACAGGTGAGTACATGGAGAGACAGGTGAGTACATGGAGAGACAGGTGAGTACCTGGAGAGACAGGTGAGTACATGGAGAGACAGGTGAGTACATGGAGAGACAGGTGGGTACATGGAGAGACAGGTGAGTACATGGAGAGACAGGTGGGTACATGGAGAGACAGGTGGGTACATGGAGAGACAGGTGGGTACATGGAGAGACAGGTGAGTACATGGAGAGACAGGTGAGTACATGGAGAGACAGGTGGGTAGACAGGTGGGTACATGGAGAGACAGGCGGGTACATGGAGAGACAGGCGGGTACATGGAGAGACAGGCGGGTACATGGAGAGACAGGCGGGTACATGGAGAGACAGGCGGGTACATGGAGGGACAGGCGGGTACATGGAGAGACAGGCGGGTACATGGAGAGACAGGTGGCTACATGGAGAGACAGGCGGGTACATGGAGAGACAGGCGGGTACATGGAGAGACAGGTGGGTACATGGAGAGACAGGCGGGTACATGGAGAGACAGGTGGGTACATGGAGAGACAGGCGGGTACATGGAGGGACAGGCGGGTACATGGAGAGACAGGTGGGTACATGGAGAGACAGGTGGCTACATGGAGAGACAGGTGGGTACATGGAGAGACAGGTGAGTACATGGAGAGACAGGTGAGTACATGGAGAGACAGGTGAGTACATGGAGAGACAGGTGAGTACATGGAGAGACAGGTGGGTAGACAGGTGGGTACATGGAGAGACAGGTGAGTACATGGAGAGACAGGTGAGTACCTGTCTGCGGCGGCTGAGTCGGGCGGGTCGCGTACGTGGTAGGATTTGAGCACCACCAGGCTCGGGGCTGTGGGGGTCTCCATCCGTGCGGCGGTCGGCTCCCTCCCACGGGTCCCGCGTCTCTCTCCGTCTCGCTGCGCTCGCTGTCTCTCTGTGCGCTCTCGTGTTGTTGTTATTGCTTGTGAGTTGGTCTGTTTGTGTGTACTTCAGTACTCGTCACTTCGTGCGTGCCGTCGTATTTGTACTCTTGACTCCTGTGTGTGTCCCAGATCGCGTACAGGTGGCGCTCGTGACTCTGCGCGTGTCTCCGCTCTCGTGGTGTCTCTGTCTCGGTGTCTGTGTCTCTGTCTCGGTGTCTGTGTCTCTCGGTGTCTGTGTCTCTCTCTGCCTGTCTCTCTCTGCCTGTCACTCGCTGTCTGTGACCCGAGTGTCTCCTCTCGCCCCCGCGACGCTCGACTTTATAGGCGTGACGTGGCGATGACGCAGCCCGTCCGAGCTGCCGGTCACGCGGAGACGGCCACGCCGCCTCCCCCACCTCCACCTGCCGCCTCTCCCACCTCCACCTGCCGCCTCCCCCAACCGCCTCCCCCAGCCGCCTCCCCCAGCCGCCTCTCCCACCTCCACCTGCCGCCTCCCCCAGCCGCCTCCCCCACCTCCACCTGCCGACTCGCACGGCGCCCTGGGGGGGGGGGGGTTGAATGAGCCTCGGCTATGGTCTGGGTTACGCGTTGTGTGGGTTAGGCGTTGTGTGGTTATTTCTGTCGCGATGAGAGAGAGAGAGAGGTGCCCTGGTCGGTAACACGGCCAATGCGACACAATAACAATGACGTTATCCTTTTCACGATTGCTACGTACGGGTACAAACGCCCAAAAACGCAAGACGGCCAGCAACACCCAGCACTATCAAAGTTATAACACATCTGGCGTGAACGCGTTCATTGTACAGTACTGAGCAAAGTTATTATAAAAAACTTGGGGGACCACGATTACGGGCAATTCCAAAGTGGAAGAGTGCGATGAGCAGTGGTGAGTGAGTGAGTGGTAAGTCGCCCAGTGTGTTGTAGTAAACTGCAGTGTGGTGAGTTAGTGGTAAGTCGCCCAGTGTGTTGTAGTAAACTGCAGTGTGGTGAGTGAGTGGTAAGTCACCCAGTGTGTTGTAGTAAACTGCAGTGTGGTGAGTTAGTGGTAAGTCGCCCAGTGTGTTGTAGTAAACTGCAGTGTGGTGAGTGAGTGGTAAGTCACCCAGTGTGTTGTAGTAAACTGCAGTGTGGTGAGTTAGTGGTAAGTCGCTCAGTGTGTTGTAGTAAACTGCAGTGTGGTGAGTGAGTGAGTGGTAAGTCACCCAGTGTGTTGTAGTAAACTGCAGTGTGGTGAGTTAGTGGTAAGTCGCCCAGTGTGTTGTAGTAAACTGCAGTGTGGTGAGTGAGTGGTAAGTCGCCCAGTGTGTTGTAGTAAACTGCAGTGTGGTGAGTGAGTGAGTGGTAAGTCGCCCAGTGTGTTGTAGTAAACTGCAGTGTGGCGAGTGAGTGGTAAGTCGCCCAGTGTGTTGTAGTAAACTGCAGTGTGGTGAGTGAGTGAGTGGTAAGTCGCTCAGTGTGTTGTAGTAAACTGCAGTGTGGTGAGTGAGTGAGTGGTAAGTCGCCCAGTGTGTTGTAGTAAACTGCAGTGTGGTGAGTGAGTGGTAAGTCGCCCAGTGTGTTGTAGTAAACTGCAGTGTGGTGAGTGAGTGGTAAGTCACCCAGTGTGTTGTAGTAAACTGCAGTGTGGTGAGTTAGTGGTAAGTCGCCCAGTGTGTTGTAGTAAACTGCAGTGTGGTGAGTGAGTGAGTGGTAAGTCGCTCAGTGTGTTGTAGTAAACTGCAGTGTGGTGAGTGAGTGGTAAGTCGCCCAGGGTGTTGTAGTAAACTGCAGTGTGGTGAGTGAGTGGTAAGTCACCCAGGGTGTTGTAGTAAACTGCAGTGTGGTGAGTGAGTGGTAAGTCGCCCAGGGTGTTGTAGTAAACTGCAGTGTGGTGAGTGAGTGGTAAGTCACCCAGTGTGTTGTAGTAAACTGCAGTGTGGTGAGTGGTAAGTCGCCCAGTGTGTTGTAGTAAACTGCAGTGTGGTGAGTGAGTGGTAAGTCGCCCAGGGTGTTGTAGTAAACTGCAGTGTGGTGAGTGAGTGAGTGGTAAGTCGCTCAGTGTGTTGTAGTAAACTGCAGTGTGGTGAGTGAGTGGTAAGTCGCCCAGGGTGTTGTAGTAAACTGCAGTGTGGTGAGTGAGTGGTAAGTCGCCCAGTGTGTTGTAGTAAACTGCAGTGTGGTGAGTGGTAAGTCGCCCAGTGTGTTGTAGTAAACTGCAGTGTGGTGAGTGAGTGGTAAGTCGCCCAGTGTGTTGTAGTAAACTGCAGTGTGGTGAGTGAGTGGTAAGTCGCCCAGTGTGTTGTAGTAAACTGCAGTGTGGTGAGTGAGTGGTAAGTCGCCCAGGGTGTTGTAGTAAACTGCAGTGTGGTGAGTGAGTGAGTGGTAAGTCGCTCAGTGTGTTGTAGTAAACTGCAGTGTGGTGAGTGAGTGAGTGGTAAGTCACCCAGTGTGTTGTAGTAAACTGCAGTGTGGTGAGTGAGTGGTAAGTCGCCCAGTGTGTTGTAGTAAACTGCAGTGTGGTGAGTGAGTGGTAAGTCGCCCAGTGTGTTGTAGTAAACTGCAGTGTGGTGAGTGAGTGAGTGGTAAGTCGCTCAGTGTGTTGTAGTAAACTGCAGTGTGGTGAGTGAGTGAGTGGTAAGTCACCCAGTGTGTTGTAGTAAACTGCAGTGTGGTGAGTGAGTGAGTGGTAAGTCGCCGAGTGTGTTGTAGTAAACTGCAGTGTGGTGAGTGAGTGAGTGGTAAGTCGCCCAGTGTGTTGTAGTAAACTGCAGTGTGGTGAGTGAGTGAGTGCGTGGTAAGTCACCCAGTGTGTTGTAGTAAACTGCAGTGTGGTGAGTGAGTGGTAAGTCGCCCAGTGTGTTGTAGTAAACTGCAGTGTGGTGAGTGAGTGGTAAGTCGCCCAGTGTGTTGTAGTAAACTGCAGTGTGGTGAGTGAGTGAGTGGTAAGTCGCTCAGTGTGTTGTAGTAAACTGCAGTGTGGTGAGTGAGTGAGTGGTAAGTCACCCAGTGTGTTGTAGTAAACTGCAGTGTGGTGAGTGAGTGGTAAGTCGCCCAGTGTGTTGTAGTAAACTGCAGTGTGGTGAGTGAGTGAGTGAGTGGTAAGTCACCCAGTGTGTTGTAGTAAACTGCAGTGTGGTGAGTGAGTGAGTGGTAAGTCGCCGAGTGTGTTGTAGTAAACTGCAGTGTGGTGAGTGAGTGAGTGGTAAGTCGCCCAGTGTGTTGTAGTAAACTGCAGTGTGGTGAGTGAGTGGTAAGTCGCCCAGTGTGTTGTAGTAAACTGCAGTGTGACGAGTGAGTGGTAAGTCGCCGAGTGTGTTGTAGTAAACTGCAGTGTGGTGAGTGAGTGAGTGGTAAGTCGCTCAGTGTGTTGTAGTAAACTGCCGTGTGGTGAGTGAGTGGTAAGTCACCCAGTGTGTTGTAGTAAACTGCAGTGTGGTGAGTGAGTGAGTGGTAAGTCGCTCAGTGTGTTGTAGTAAACTGCAGTGTGGTGAGTGAGTTAGTGGTAAGCCGCCCAGTGTGTTGTAGTAAACTGCAGTGTGGTGAGTGATTGTTGCTGTAGCCCGGATAATGCACGCTCATTGCCGGGCTATTTGTTCGGGAACGAATTACTTTCTCTCCAATCCACGACTCTTCGCATGACTTGCTCGCTGTTTTTAATTGTAAGTTGGCAACAGCAGCATCATCAACAGCAGCCATCATCAATCCACTGCTGGATGAAGACCGTCGCGTTCCCGCGTGCGATGTGCCGGGCTGAGTTAGGGTGGTACAGAGAGCGGCAGCAGCTGCAGGCTGTGTGGAACCACGGTGATGGAGAAAGCGACACGAGAGGGAGGGAGACTCTCAACAAACACAAAACACTCAACCACAACATCACAGCCTGATGATGACCACCCAACTACAGGGCACATTCTGTTTAATTGAATGAAACAAATATAATCTGCCGATAATTTTACTGATTAATATAATAAATGAATCGATGACGCGTTTGTATGTATGTGTATAATTGCTGTATATCCAATGAATCAAAGAGGTCTGAGAAGACATCCACCGCAGAGATGGAGCTATTAAATCGGCTCGCGTACGGAGATGTTACAGCAGTAGGTTGACCATGGCTCCTGATGACCATGATTATAGCCGAGCGATCCAGCAGCTATTGTTCTTGGCAGGTGGGTAAATAATTTGCTGCTCTCCGTTACACAGCGAGTGGGTAGGTAGTTGTGGATGGTGGTGGCTGTGACTTGGTGAAGTTGGTGTGTGTATGTATCTGTTTCCGGGCCGGCACAGTTGTCAACAACGTGAGACTTTGCAAACCATGAAGAAGGACCCTCTTGAGGAGCCTTTCAAAACCATCACTTAACCCTACATTGCGGGGATCACAAAAAAGATCTCCAAAATCTTGAATAAACACAAGATCCAGGTCCGTTTCAACACATTACATAAAATCCGTGATCTGAAATTTCGATTTAAAGCTTTCGTGACTGCAAAGATTCATTTTCTTTGGTTCTTTCGGTAAAGTCACGTAGAATGAGAATAAAATAATAAATTGATAAAATAAAATAACACAATAATATTCTCACGACGTTTCGGCCACAACACAAGCGGCCTTCACCTCCAGCGCTGTCCTACCAGACAGTCTCGTCCCTTCACCTGATGAAGGCCGCTTGTGTTGTGGCCGAAACGTCGTGAGAATATTATTGTGTTATTTTATCAATTTATTATTTTATTCTCATTCTACGTGACTTTACCGAAAGAACCAAAGAAAATGAATCCGTGATCTGGTTCCGTCTGTAAAAGATGTGATTCCGGACATACAGTACCCTGGTGTCTACAAACTAAGTTGCCTCTGTGGTAGTAGTTACATTGGAGAAACCAAACGCCATGTCTCGGACCGCATTCGTGAACACAAAGCAGACCTTAAACACGGTAGGACCAACACCTCGGCCGTGGCAGATCATTGTTATAATTCAGTAGGCTCACATGACATTGACTTTTCCAAGACAGAGGTTCTTTGTAAGCCATCTGGCTACCATGAGAGATTCGTTCATGAGGCTATCCACATATACAAGCACAGAGACAATTTCAACCGAGAAGATGGATTCTGGCTTAGCAATCATTGGAAAGATTTGATAAACCATTTCAGGTCTTAATTGATTGTTCACGCTTACAGTGGCTTTCAGACAGCATACATTATTTTTTCGTCTCCCCCCTCCTCTTTTCAGAACGTGAGACTTGTTTTTGAGCGCCACATCCTTCTCGCCTCATGGTGTCCTAGTGAGACTTCATTGTTCCTAATAGGATTATAGTAATATAGGAGCATTATGAGCAGGCTTACGTTGTACTATAGTGGTAGTGCC